CTTATGGAACAGTGGGGACTGTGAAGCAACACAAACATAGGCACAGACACATGCATACACACACATGATAACATACGCACTATACACACACGTACACATGGATATTATGTTGTAGATATGTGGTAGTGGAGTAGGGGCCTGAGGGGGCACACTTAGTATGTTGTGAAATCTGTTATGAATGTATTGTAATGTTATTAAAATTGTATAACTGCCTTAATTTTGCCTTGGCAGCAGCTAATGGGGATCCATAATAAATATAAATACACAAGGATGTGTGAGTTGGATGCCATAGAGGAGTCAAAACGGCCATCCTCATTGTCCTAGTATCCAAGCCAGATGGTACACTGAACTTCTACAACGACTTCCGACGACTTAGAGGTGAGTTCAACTCCCATCGCATGCCAAGGGCTGATGAGCTCAGAGTGGCTTCGACGAGCTCACTATATCACCACCCTAGACCTTACCAAAGGGTGCTGGCAGGTCCCACTTACTGCCTCTGCCCATGAGAATACTGCCTTCTCCTCACCTGATGGGCTCTTCCAGTACAATGTTCTTCCTTTTGGCTTTCACAGGGCCCCAGACACCTTTCAAAGGCTGGTGGACATTGTCCTACGGCCACATCGGGACTTTGGTGCGGCCTAACTGGACGATGTGGTAATCCATTCGGAGATCTGGGAAGACCACTTGGAGAAGATAGGCCGTGTCTTGGGTTCTCTCCGACAGTCAGGCCTGACAGCCAACCCAAAGAAATGCTACATTTCACAGAGTGAGGCGCAATACCTTGGATACACCATTGGTCGAGGACTCATCAAACCAAATGAGAAGAAGGTTGAGACAATCCATAACTGGCCTTATCCAACCACCAAGACTCAGGTGAGGGCTCGGAGCTAAAAGGGGGGGCGGGGCATGGGCATAGGTGTGGCTGAAGGACTCCCACTGCAGCACCATGGACAGAGCCACCCACCTCAGCACAGGAGGCAGGTGCGCTCACTTCAGCACCATGGACAGCGGCACTGGATGCAGCACGATGGACAGCAGCAAACCGTTCAGCACTGTGGAAGGCTGCACTACCTTCACCAAACTGGAAGTCTTCCGACTAGCTTGGAAAGACAGTACTGTGCAATATCGAAGAGCACTCACTGCCGCTCGATCATCCTATTTTTCCCACCTAATTGAGGAGAATAAGAACAATCCAACATTTATTTTCGATACTGTTGCAAAGCTAACTAAAAAGCAGCATTCCCCAAGAGAGGATGGCTTTCACTTCAGCAGCGATGAATTCATTAACTTCTTAATGAAGATCTTAATTAAGATCATGATCATTAGAAAGAAAATTACGGACTCCTCTTTGTATCTGCGTATTTCTCCAAAGCTCAGTTGTCCTGAGTCTGCACAGAACTGTCAGGACCTAAGATCAATGGAGACACAAGTTTTTAAATCCTGTATCTCTTGACACATTCATGAAAATAGTCATGGCCTCTAAACCGTCAAGCTGCATACTGGACCCTATTCCAACTGAACTACTGAAAGAGTTACTTCCTGTGCTAGGCCCTCCTATGTTGAACATAATAAATGGCTCAATATCCTCCCAATGTGTACCAAACTCACTAAATGTGGCAGTAATAAAGCCTCTCTTGAAAAAGCCAAACCAGGACCAGAAAAATGTTAAAAAAAACTATCGGCCTATATTGAATCTCCCATTCCTCTAAAACATTTTTTTTTTAAACTGTTGCACAGCAACTCACTGCCTTCCTGAAGACAAAATAATGTATACGAAACGCTTCAGTCTGGTTTTAGACCCCATCATAGCACTAAGACTGCACTCGTGAAGGTGGTAAATTACCTTTTAATGGCGTCAGACCAAGGCACTGCATCTGTCCTCGTGCTCCTAGACCTTAGTTTTGGTTTAGATTTTATCCGTCAGAAAGATATAAGTTAATCTCTGTGGATGGTTTGTCCTCTGACAAATCAATTGTACGTTTCGGTGTTCCTCAAGGTTCCGTTTTAGGACTTCTATTGTTTTCACTATATATTCTGCCTCTCAGTGATGTCATTCAAAAACACAATGTCAACTCTGGACCCTGATCTCTCTCTTGATGAACATATCAAGAATATTTCAAGGACAGCTTTTTTCCATTTTTGTAATATTACAAAAATCTGAAACCTTTTGTCCAAAAATTATGCAGAATTCATGCTTTTGTCACTCCTAGATTAGACTACGGCAATGCTCTACTCTCCGGCTATCCGGATAAAGCATTAAAAAAACGTCAGTTTGTGCTAAACATGGCTGCTAGAATCTTGACTAGAACCAAAATGTGATCATATTACTCCAGTGCTAGCCTCTCTACACTGGCTTCCTGTTAAGGCTAGGGCTGTCCCTAGAATTTCTAAGCAAACAGCTGGAGGCAGGGCTTCTCCTATTGAGCTAAATTTTTATGGAATGGTCTGCCTACCCATGTGAGAGACACAGACTCGGTCTCAACCTTTAAGTCTTTACTGAAGACTCATCTCTTCAGTAGGTCCTATGATTGAATGTAGTCTGGCCCAGGGGTGCGAAGGTGAACGGCAAGGCACTGGAGCGATGAACCGCCCTTGCTGTCTCTGCCTGGCCGACTGCCCTCTCTCCACTGGGATTCTCTGCCTCTGACCCTATTGCGGGAGCTGAGTCACTGGCTTACTAGTGCACTTCCATGCCGTCCCTAGGAGGGGTGCGTCACTTGAGTGGGTTGAGTCACTGATGTGATCTTCTTGTCCGTTTTTGAGCCCTCTCGGACTCGTGCAGTGGAGGAGATCTTCGTGGGCTATGCTCAGCCTTGTCTCAGCGTAGGAAGTTGGTGGTCTGTTGATATCCCTCTAGTGGTGTGGGGGCTGTACTTTGGCAAAGTGGGTGGGGTTACATCTTGCCTGGTTGGCCCTGTCTGGGGGTATCTCAGCCTCCAGTATCTATGCTGAAATAATCTATGTGCCGGGGGGCTAGGGTCAGTCTGTTATATCTGGTGTTATTCCCCCGTTTTATCTGGTGTCCTGTGTGAATTTAAGTATGCTCCCTTTAATTCTCCCTCTCTCCCTCCCGGAGGACCTGAGCCCTAGGACCATGCCTCAGGACTATACCCAGTCCACCTGGTCGTGCTGCTGCTCCAGTTTCAACTGTTCTGCTTGCGACTATGCAACCCTGACCTGTTCACCTGACGTGCTACATTGTCCCGGACCTGCTGTTTTCGACTCTCTTTCTCTCTCTCTACCGCACCTGCTGTCTCGACCTCTGAATGCTCGGCTATGAAAAGCCAACTGACATTTACTCCTGAGGTACTGACCTGTTGCAACCTCTACAACCACTGTGATTATTATTTGACCCTGCTGGTCATCTATGAACGTTTGAAAATCTTGAAGATGGCCACGTACTCTTATAATCTCCACCTGGCACAGCCAGAAGAGGACTGGCCATCCCTCAGAGCCTGGTTCCTCTCTAGGTTTCCTCCTAGGTTCTTGCCTTTCTAGGGAGTTTTTCCTAGCCACCATGCTTCTACATCTGCATTGCTTGCTGTTTGGGGTTTTAGGCTGGGTTTCTGTATAGCACTTTGTGTCATCTGCTGAAGTAAAAAGTGCTTTATAAATACATTTGATTGATTCAGCACCAGGCCAGCCAAAGACAGCACCACAGCTCTGCTCACCCAACACACCGGTGCAGGATTACTAATCAGCACACCTGCAAGGCATTCCCTAATCAACTGACTGGCACAAGAGTGCAGGCTGGACCTCTCTCAAGTGGAGCAGTTAGGAAGACACAGCCACAGTGTGCCGACTCTCCACTAACACTGTGTTTTGCTGTCCTTCCACAGACTCCTCAGAAGGAGAGTTCTGGACTCAGTCATTGAGGCCACGCAGCCAACGCAAGAGACTACAGGTGGCCTGCCATCTTTAACCACCCTCTTGCCTGAACGGCTTGTGGACTAGAACGCCACAGACACTTAAAGCTAAAGCATCTGAAACTTGAACTTTTTTGTTGTGTTTACTCATTGCCGCTTGTGTAGTCGGGCACACCCCACTCTTCTCGACACCATGTCTTGTTTTGAGGTGTTTTGACTGATGTCAGGTTAATGCTAATATGGCTAAAATTCGCTAGCTAGCTAACCAACAACTGTAACGATGTATTTGGGAGACAAGTGCTCATTGTGCAAATGTATCTATGTTTTCAATAAATATTGGAGACAAAATATAGTTTACATGTTGTCAACAATCTAAGCCAACCCTGTCTGTTTTGCCCCATAGTTGTGCATGCGTCGGTTTTGTTGCAAAACAACCAACCCGTCTATACAGCACAGGCGATTGGTGGCACCTTCACTGGGGAGGACGGGCTTGTGGTAATGGCTGGTGTGGAATAAGTGGAATGGTATCAAATACAACAAACGCATGGTTTCCATGTATTTGATGCCATTCCATTTGCTCTGTTCCAGACATTATTGTGAGCCATCCTCCCCTCAGCAGCCTCCACTGCTATACAGCTTCTGTCATAAGGGGAGGTTCAAGGCAGGTTGGATGAATTTGCATATAGGAAGGGAGCAGGGAATCTGGTCACAATGCGGATGCAGTGGGCAGCTAGAGACATTTTATTATCATATGTAGACGCAACAAATCTTGATCGGATCATCTTGATTGGATGACGACAACCACATGTTAATGCAAGGTGTAACCACGGCTTAAGAGTAAACCCCCGACATCCGCTTTAGGGAGAGGTAAATCGGTGGCCTATAGTGGTTGCAACTGAGATCAGCAGTGCGGGTGATTTTAGCGTCTATTGCTGGTTTAACGAGAGGTCAGCTGGTGATAATCTAGAGACAAGTGCTCATTGTCGATGGTTGCAGTTGTCCCTGTGTGTTATGGGGATGCAGTGTTTAGAACAGAATAATATAACATAATAAAAGTCAGAGGTTGACACAAAAACCAATACACAAAATACATGCAAGCCGTTTGCTTCTTTAGACAGAAACAAAGAGGGCTGTCTATTTAGTACTGACCTGACTGTATTTGGCCTGTATGCCCCAAGGGCGTCCCAGGAAGATGTAAACACTCCCCTGTCCTCTGTTCTCCAGTGGGGCTCCTACAGCCAGCTCCGGCACCCCGTCCCCGTTCAGGTCTGGACAGGCAGACAGAGACGTCCCAAACTGACCATGGACATTCCCCTGGACTCCACGCAGGGTGAGGGAGCAGTTGGGTGTCTAGAATTGAATCAAATCGAATTCAGGTAGGCATCCGCAAACTAAGGAAGTAGGAGGGGTGATCAATAACAGCAATCCAGTGATACGGCTTACATTTACATTTTAGTCATTTAGCAGACGCTCTTATCCAGAGCAATTTACAGTTAGTGAGTGCATACATTTTCATTCTGGCCCCCCGTGGGAATCGAACCCACAACCCTGGCGTTGCAAACGCCATGCTCTACCAACTGAGCTACACGGGCTTACACAAGGAAAAAGTCCCAAATTGATTGAATTGGCAGCAGTAGGGTGGCTGAGGGGGTATAACGCAATTTGATACAGTTTCTCGAAGTCAAACTAACTATGACCAAAAAAATTGTGAAATGACTCATGATAATACAAATGACAAGGAACTGATATACAATCAATTCGGAAATTATTCAGAGCCCTTGAATTTTTCCACATTTTGTTACGTTACAGCCTTATTCTAAAATTGATTAAATCGTTTTTCCCCTCATCAATCTACACACAATACCCCATAATGACAAAGCAAAAACAGGTTTTTAGAAATCTTTGCAAATGTATTACAAATAAAAAACTGAAATATCACAATTACATAAGTATTCAGACCCTTTACTCAGTACTTTGTTGAAGCACCTTTAGCAGCGATTACAGCATAGAGTCTTCTTGGGTATGACGCTACAAGCTTGGCACACCTGTATTTGAGGAGTGTCTCCCATTCTTCTCTGCAGATCCTCTCAAGCTCTGTCAGGTTGGATGGGGAGCATTGCTGCACAGCTATTTTCAGGTCTGTCCAGAGATGTTAGATCGGGTTCAAGTCTAGCTGGGCCACTCAAGGACATTCAGAGACATGTCCCGAAGTCAGTCCTGTGTTGTCTTGGCTGTGTGCTTAGAGTATTTGTCCTGTTGGAAGGTGAACCTTCGCCCCAGTCTGAGGTCCTGAGCAGGTTTTCATCAATGATCTCTCTGTACTTTGCTCCGTTCATCTTTCTCTTGATCCTGACTAGTCTCCTAGTCCCTGCCCCTGAAAAACATCCCCACCGCATGATGCTGCCACCACCATGCTTCACCGTAGGGATGGTGCCAGGTTTCCTCCAGACGTGACACTTGGCATTCAGGTCAAAGAGTTTATATTCAGTTTCATCAGACCAGAGAATCTTGTTTCTCATGGTCTGAGAGTCCTTTAGGTGCCTTTTGGCAAACTCCAAGCGGGCTGTCATGTGCCTTTTACTGAGGAGTGGCTTCCGTCTGGCCACTCTACCATAAAGGCCTGATTGGCGGAGTGCTGCAGAAATGGTTGTCCTTCTGGAAGGTTCTCTCATCTCAACAGAAGAACTCTGGAGCTCTGTCAGAGTGACCATCGGGTTCTTGATCACCTCCCTGACCAAGGCCCTTCTCCCCCGATTGCTCAGTTTGGCCAGGTGGCCAGCTCTAGGAAGAATGTTGGTGGTTCCAAACTTCTTCCATTTAACAATGATGGAGGCCACTGTGTTCTTGGGGACCTTCAATGCTGCAGAAATGTTTTGGTAACCTTCCCCAGATCTGTCTCTGAGCTCTACGGGCAATTCCTTCAACCTCATGGCTTGGTTTTTGCTCTGACATGCACTGTCAACTGTGGGACCTTATATAGACAGGTGTGTGCCTTTCCAAATCATGTCCAATCATTTGAATTTACCACAGGTGGACTCCAATCAAGTTGTAGAAACATCTCAAGGATGATCAATGGAAACAGGATGCACCAGAACTCAATTTCGAGTCTCATAGCAAAGGGTCTGAATACTTATGTAAATAAGGTATTTCTGTTTTTTATTTTAAATATATTTACAACTATTTTTCTTTTTTTTAATCACTTTGTCATTATGGGGTATTGTTTGTAGATTGATGAGGGGAAAAAATAATTTTATCAATTTTAGTATAAGGCTGTAACCTAACAAAATGGGGGGGAAAGGGAAGGTGTCTGAATACTTTCCGAATGGACTGTATCTTCAAGGATTTCATTGTGTGCATGAAGCAACAATCACACACGTGTCGTGCACACGCACACACGCACGCACGCACGCACGCACGCACGCACGCACGCACGCACGCACGCTCACACACACACACACACAGGAAGCACCTATAGTAACGGCAGTGTGCAATTGTGGCATGTGGTCTGTGTCAGTGTGCAATGTGTGTCTGACATCCTGTACTGTAAGTGTTTGAGTGTTAGTAAGCTGTATATGAACACAGCAGTGTTGGTTGGAGTCATTCAGACGAGAAAGTAGTCAACTTGAATCGTAACTCCATTCATGAATTGATCATGCACAATGAATCTACTACTGAATTGGTTGGTTTACTATGATATTGACCAAACCATAGACATGCAATACTGTGTTCTATTTAATTCTGTCCTTCGTGTATGTATGGGGTGTTATGTAGCCAATCTTACTCCAGTCTCCAGGGTACAGACATGGACCTCTCCCCCAACATCCTGGGCGTGATACCAAGGAGCCCCAACCAGTAGCAGCCCAGCACGGCCCTCCCCTGGCCCAGCATGGCTCTCTAACACACACAGCTCTGCCCCGAAGTAGGAACCAAACTATGGAGAGGGAAGAGAGAAAACAGAGAGGGAGAGAAAGAGGGAAACATTGGAGGGAAACATTATTAGGTAAAGAGCAACATGGTAATGACGACTTTGCATTCTGGTTGCCGTCTGATTGTATTCTGATTGCCCCATTGGCTCTGGTCTTTCTCTCACCTGAGATCCGGGTATCCTGTGGGTGACAGTCCACTCCTGATGGAGAGGGTCCCTCTGGAAGACCAGGACCAGCCCAGTGTGGTTGAACCTGGGAGCTCCAGCAAAATATATACTGCCATTCACTGTCTCTGCCACTGCCACTGAGTAACCTGCACAGACAGCATTTGAGTTCAAGTTCAATACGTATATTTGCCATTTGCAGGTATTAAAAGTAATACATACAGTGCCTTCGGAAAGTATTCAGACCCCTTGACTTTTTCCACATTTTGTCACGTTACAGCTTTATTCTAAAATTGATTAAATATAATTTTTTCCTCAGCAATTTACACACAATACCTCATAATGACAAAGCGAAAACAGGTTTTTAGAAATGTTTGCACATTTATAAAACAATTAAAACAGAAATACCTTATTTACATAAGTATTCATAACCTTTGCTATGAGACTCGAAATTGAGCTCAGGTGCATCCTGTTTCCATTGATCATCCTTGAGATGTTTCTACAACTTGGAGTCCACCTGTGGTAAATTCAATTGAATGGACATGATTTGGAAAGGCACACACCTGTCTATATAAGGTCCCACAACGGAAGCCACTCCTCAGTAAAAGGCACATGACAGCCCGCTTGGAGTTTGCCAAAAGTCACCTAAAGACTCTCAGACCATGAGAAACAAGATTCTCTGGTCTGATGAAACCAAGATTGAACTCTTTGGCCTGAATGGCAAGCGTCACGTTTGGAGGAAACCTGGCACCATCCCTACGGTGAAGCATGGTGGTGGCAGCATCATGCTGTGGGGATGTTTTTCAGCGGCAGGGACTGCCGAGGGAAAGAAGAACGGAGCAAAGTACAGAGAGATCCTTGATGAAAACCTGCTCCAAAGCGCTCAGGACCTCAGACTGGGGCGAAGGTTCACCTTCCAACAGGACAACGACCCTAAGCACACAGCCAAGACAACGCATTAGTGGCTTCGGGATAAGTCTCTGAATGTCCTTGAGTGGCCCAGCCAGAGCCCGGACTTGAACCTGATCGAACATCTCTGGAGAGATCTGAAAATAGCTGTGCAGCAACGTTCCCCATCCAACCTGACAGAGCTTGAGAGGATCTGCAGAGAGGATTGGAAGAAACTCCCCAAATACATGTGTGCCAAGCTTGCAGCGTCATACCCAAGAAGACTCAAGGCTGTAATCGCTGCCAAAGGCATTTCAACAAAGTTCTGTGTAAAGGGTCTGAATACTTACAGTATGTAATTGTGATATTTCTGTTTTTTTATTTCTAATAAATATGCAAACATTTCTAAAACCTGTTTTTGCTTCGTCATTATGGGTTATTGTGTGTAGATTGTTGAGGGAATAAAACGATTTAATCAATTTTAGAATAAGGCTGTAACGTAAGAAAATGTGGAAAAAGTCAAGGGGTCTGAATACTTTCCGAATGCAGTGTACATTGTCATTCTTTGTTGGAGCTCTCTCACATAGGACAGTACATACACATAGAGAGTAAATGATCATAAAAATAACATCAATCATAAAAGAAAAACAGTTCAGTCATATGTGCTAAAAGTATAATGAAAACAGCTCAGGTTGCTTGGTTTAACAGGTGGATTGCACTGGGACATAAGCTGTTCTTGAAACTGGTTATGGAGGTTTTGATGCTCTTGTACCTCCGCCCAGATGGTAACTGGGAGAACAGTGCGCTGGCGGGATGTCTGGGGTCCCGTATTGTCTTTTTGGCCCTAGTGAGGGATCTGTCTGTGTAGATGGCATCGATAGAGGGGAGGGTAGTTGATTCTCTCTGCAGTGCGCACTACCCTCTGAAGCCTTTTTTGGTCTTTTGCGTTGGTGTTACCATTCCACACGGTGATGGATCCGGCCAGGATGCTCTTTACTGTGTAACTGTAAAAGTTGACTCGAATGCCTGCACTCATGCCAAACTTCGCCTTAGGAAATGGAGATGTTGCTGTGCCTTGATCACAGCATTTGTGTTGGCTAACCATGTCAGATTGGACGAGATGGTTAAAACAGTCCACCAGCTCCATGTCAGTGCCATTAATGCTCATAGCAATATGATTTCCCCTATGCTTCCTGAAATCCACAATCATCGCCTTCGCTTTCTTTGCGTTTAGCTCAAGGTTGTTTTCACTTCTTGTCTATATACTGTCTTGTCAATGTTAGTGATGAGCCCTGTGATGGTAGTATTATCTGCAAACTTTATGATCTGATTGCTGTCCCTTTGGGCAACACAATCAGAGGTGAGTAAAGAGTACATCAGAGTACAGTAGAGCACCGTGCACACGCATCTGTAAAAAGTTACAATAGGCACCACATAAACAGGCTATCATTCTATAATCTCCACAAACCACCCAGAACCAACGCTGAACAAAACATGATACAGAAATATTGCCTATAGTGGTATACATTACAGTTTCATGATTACAAATGTCTCTGGCCCACACCAACACAAAATAGAGATGGGATATGAGCAATAGTCTTGAGTGGTGATACAGTAGTAGGTTCTCTATCTGATGGCAGTTTCTAGAAATATATATCTGTATAATAAGTTGTTGACATGTTATATTTGTAGTGAATGCTACTACATGTTTCCTCACCACATTGTTCTCCTCCTTCTCCTTACACTGCTATTTTGCTCAGTAGTGGTAAGAGATTGTATACATACATAGTTCTGTAGGCATAGTTCTGCATGTATTTTTTACATTACATTTGACATTTTAGTCATTTAGCAGACGCTCTTATCCAGAGCGACTTACAGGAGCAATTAAGGTTAAGTGCCTTGCTCAAGGGCACATCGACAGATTTTTCACCTAGTCGGCTCGGGGATTAGAACCAGCGACCTTTCGGTTACTGGCACAACGCTCTTAACCACTAAGATACCTGCCGCCCCATATTTGACAATATAGGCATACACTCCTCTCACGATTATCTGTTGTCTAAGTGCCGGCATTAGTTCACATTATTTAGACTTTATAATTGGCGATATTATACTGTAATTGGTGATGTCTTTTGTAAAAGCTTGAGTAGTTTATTTCCCATAGTCCTTCATTCTCACCCAGATAGGAGTCCTGCATTTCTGTCTCCAGTGCAGAGGCATTGATGAACGTGGCATTCATCCCTCTGGCTGCCTCCACAATGCCCCCGGACCACGAGTACGACCCTACTGCCCCAAACAGAGAGACACCCTTCACAGGAGAGAGACAAGTACTTCATGTGTTACTTTCCTTGATGGCGTTACTTTACTTAATTTTACTTAACCATACTTTACTTTTAAACTCTAATATGACGTAACGTGATGGAAATATTTCATGGGAATAAGTATAAATGCTCTTCTAAGCAAGAACTGTCCAGACCATGCTGAAAGGGGACGCATTACATTGGTTCAACATGACATTAACATTGAACGGATATTCTGTAATAACCACTAACAATAATATTTGCCTTTAGCAGACACTTTCTAGACAGAGAGCAGTCACTAACCCCAGAGAGAGTGGTACTAAAGCCTCCCTGGGACAGTTCCTGTTCAAAAGAACTGGAGTTGGTCGAGTTAGTTCCTGAACAGAGAACATGCAAGAGAAAGAGAATAAATCAACAAACCAATGTGCTAGTTTCCTAGACACAAAGCATTTTCCAATTGTGATTATCTTCTGTTCTATTTCCACTGTTAGAATTCACATATTACACAAACTTCCAAATTAGGTGTACATGCAAAAGGTACACATTCCTTATCCAGTGTGTAAATTAAGATATAGTAAATACTGTAGTTATCATTTTAACGGATGGGTTGTGTTTTTTAAATACAAATCCTTGTTGTACCTTCAATTGCAAAGATCTTCTCCCTAAGCTCCTTCTGAATGGATTTCAGAGCATCAAAACTGTTTGTCTCAAATACAAAGTTCGGGGAAGACGCAATCTGCTCAAGCTCTAGTCTAGAGAACTGCTTCCCAACCTGGGAGGGGGAGGGAGGGAGGGAGAAAGAGAGAGAGCAAAAAAGAGAAAGATTGCACTTCATTTTAAGACCAGTCTGACACTTAGCAGCCATATCATCTTACTAGAAGTGCCAGAGCCAAATCCTAGAATACAGAGAGATCCGAGGAATACCACGGCTTCGTCCGAAATGGCACCGTATCCGCTACACAGTGCACTACTTTTGACCGTATGGGCCCTAGTCAAAAGTAGTGCACTATATAGGGAATAGGGTGACATTTTGTACGCAGCTCACATGTAAAAGATTAATGAAATCACCCCAATGGCAAATCTGGTGACGGCCATCATCTCGGCCAATGGTATGACAGAGTTAAAGGTCTCTTTGGGGTCGTTAGATTTGCCGTCTGTTATCACAACCAACAGCTTCCTGGAACGTTTCCTCATCCCCTGTTCTTCTGTCATCATCTCTTCTCTGAGGACAGGGACAGTACAGCACAGTGTAGAGACAGTGTAGAGGATGGAGGGGAGTGAGACAGGTACTTTCAGAGTACTTATAGAACAAACATAAAGGGTATGCCTCAAAGGGGGCAGTTAGACATTACTCTACTTTTGTGCTGGTAGTGTCTCCTTGTTGCAACTTGTAATGAACCGGATTGATTATTGATTGACTTTACCAACAACTGCTCTCCCTTTTGGTAGGCTGTCGTTGTAAATAAGAATGTGTTCTTAATTTACTTGCCTAGTTAAATTAAGGTTAAATCAAAAATAATGGGATACTACAGTTTTTTTTAATCGTTCATATGAGTCCTTTTTTCACTAACACTATGCATTCACCAAATAGATAAACCGCTGACTCACAGAACATAGCGGATGGCTGACGGGGTGTATGTCGCCTCCTGGAAATGGTCCACGGATCCCATCAGGTTGTCAGGGTTAGGGTCAGACACAAAGTCCACAAAGTGGAAGACAGCACGGGTGTCTGTGGAATACTGAGCCACTGCCACCTGGGAGGAGTGGACATACAATTATGGCTCCCATTGAGACTAGGGTTGCAAAATTCTGGTAACTTTCAATAAATTCCCTGGTTTTCCCAAATTTCGGTTGGAGGATTCCCGGAATCAGGAGGGAATAAGAAGGAAACCCGGAACCCTCCAACCAGGATTTCTTGAAACCAGGGAATTTATTGAAAGTTCCCGGAATTTTGCAACCCTAATTGAGACCAATGTCCAAAGAGTTCATACTAGCATACTATTTAGAATGAAACTAGTATATTGAGCATGCATTCTACTATAAATGGCCATGCTAGTGTGGATATTGGAACAGAGTCAATAAGAAAGAAGGTGGTATAATCAATAGTTATGCGTGATAGAACAGATAAAGATGGGCACAGAGAAGAACCATACACCCACCTGTGCACGGGGGGCAGTGAACATCCGAATAATGTTTTTGATGAAGTCGATCATGGTGACAAAGTCTCTGGTTATGATACTCTGAGATCCGTCAAACAGAATCACTGCATCCAAGCCAAACTCACGGCACTCTGTAGCACAGAACACAACGGATTGATTGATTGATTGATCGGTTGGTTGACTGGATTTATATAGCGCTTTCACAGAAAGAGATCTGTAAGACTACAACATCTGGTCCCGTGTAATGCAAACATGCTCGTTTTTTATATCAGTGTGATGTCACGAGAGGCTGTGTCCGGGAGGGACGTTACATCCCCCTGAGGTGGCTGCAAACCCAGACAGCTATGGCTCCATCTGCTGGTATGGTCGGGAACTCCACCCCTCTATGGCCAATCTTCCCACGCACCTGAAACAAATCAGGAGCTGATGAGCTGAAGGTTTTGGGAAGGGAAGAGACACACTGAGGGAGGGTGTGGGTTGTGAAAAAACACAGTCTCCAACCTGGGCTCTCTGGAGGACAAGAGTGCTGCACGTCCACTTCCAGGAGGAATATAAGGATTTGGAGATACTTACCTTTGGGAAATACTCACCTTTGGATATATGTACCTGTGGAAATACGTGAGAGACATTTGGAAGGACTTTTTGCTGGGTTGGCCACTAGCTGCAACGTGGACTACAGTAAGGCTGGGGAAAAGTTATCTGAGCGAGTGAGAATTATGATTTTGGATGTGGAAGAGACATCCCTGAACTGTTAACCCTTAAAGAGCCACAAGAGAACAGACTTTTGTTATATTTTCGTTAATTTCCCAAGACCTATAATAAAATCCTTGGTTTGTTTGAACCTTGTCTCCTTGCACTACTTGAGCAACCCCGCTGAAAGCTGTGTAGCCTCTCGTGACGTCACAGATGGTGGAGAATACGGGCAAAGCTCAAGCGTTAATAGTGCATGTCAGAGGAGGATACCGAAGGTTTGATCATCCAGTTTTCCAAGTTGGCCGTAGGCTCCCCGCCGACTGAAATGGAGGACATATTGAAAGCCCTTGTTGCTGGCCAGCAAGCCCAGATGCAAGCAAACGTGGCTCTCTTGGAGGAGCAAAAGAAAGCCAACCTTCTGAAGGCAGAGGAATTGCAGTTGCAGAGACAGAGGGTTGTCCAAAATACCCGCCCAATAAAGGCAAGTGACTTTATATCTAAGATGGGAGCTACCGATGACATTGAGGCATACCTGCATGCATTTGAGGCCACGGCCACTAGGGAAGCCTGGCCCAAGCAACAGTGGGTTGGTCTGTTAGCCCCCTTTCTAACCGGGGAATCGCTGAATGCTGTCCGGGACCTGGGCCCTGACCAGGTTACTGACTATGATGCCCTGAAGTCTGAGATCCTCAGCAGATATGGACTCACAAAGTTTGGTATGGCCCAGCGCTTTCACAGCTGGACCTTCCAACCAGACCAACCTCCTCGGGCGCAGATGCATGAACTTGTCCGAATCGCAAGGAAATGGCTGGATCCGCAGAGGAATACAGCAGCGGCGGTGGTGGAGGCCGTTGTGGTGGATCGTTACCTACGCGCCCTGCCTTATGAGGCAAAACGGTTCATCAGTCAACAGGCCTTGACCACGGCTGATCTGACCGTGGAAGCTGTGGAAAAGTACCAGGCCACAGCGGAGATGCTGAATGCTTCCCGAAAAGACCCCAGGAGTGCGCCCCCACCACAAATGGGAAGAACCCGTCCAAAGGACCCCAAGGTCTCGAACCCAGCCACGTCAGGACTTATCCCGGCTCCAGGGGGAGCCAGAAACCAGGCGGGTCCAAGAAGAGTACACCAGGAGGGGGAAACTCGACAGTGTTACCGGTGTGGGGAGATGGGACATATCTCCTGGCAGTGTGGGAAACCAGCCGATGAACCTATGCCCACTGCGGAGTCCTCCAGCTCAGCACCCACACACCGTTTTGCCTCGCTCTTGGGAGTCGTAGATGGCGGCCCAGATCGACCCCCCACCTGCCCGGTAACTGTGAATCACCATGATGTGGAGGCCTTACTGGATTCTGGTAGCCGGGCCACCCTGGTGCGTAAGGATTTGGTGGGCCCAACGTGCCTGACCCCGGGTAAAGTCCTCCCAGTTTCCTGTGTCCATGGAGACACCAGAGAATACCCCATGACTGAACTTACAATGACCAGCACACGGGGAACCATACACACGACGGCGGGGGTGGTTGATTCCCTCCCCGTCCCTGTCCTAATTGGACGAGACTGCCCAGCCTTTTACCCACTCTGGAGAGAGTCTCAGGAGAGGATAACCCGAGTACCTCGGAAACGGAGAGGCAAGACTCATCCTGGGAAGGCTCCGGTGCAATCCTCCGAATTACTCACTCCCGCCCGGGCTCTGATAGGGATGGCAGGTGCCCAGACCGACACAGAGACGGAGCTACAGAATCTGGACAAAGAACTGTCTGGTCTGAAGGGGACCGCTGAGAGGTATCGTTTGTTAAAGCAACAGTTAGACATGAAGACAGAAGAGTTAGATATCCTCCAGGCTAAACTCCAACAGAGCTCCTTCCCTAAGCAACAGGAGGAGCTGGAGATGCTGCGCAGGACCATCGAGGAGTGTGAGGAGACCCTGCGCAGTAGTAAGGAGGTCCAGAAGAAGGCAGAGGAGAAGTACAAGGTGTTGGAGAACAAGATGAAGAATGCGGAGGCAGAGAGAGAGAAGGAACTGAAAGCTGCTCAACAGAAGCTAAACTCTGCTAAAACCAAGGCTGATGCGTTCAGTAAGAAACTCAAGGAGAGACCCCAGAGACCGGCACTGTACAACACAGCACCAACTCACCGGATGGAGTGGAAACAGCCGAGGGCTGGCAAGCACCACGGCAATGCGGACGCCCTCTCCCGGCGTGATGCCTTCTTCGCTGCCTTTACCCCGACGAGGACGTCGGTCCCGAGGAGGGGGATGTGTGATGTCACGAGAGGCTGTGTCCGGGAGGGACGTTACATCCCCCTGAGGTGGCTGCAAACCCAGACAGCTATGGCTCCATCTGCTGGTATGGTCGGGAACTCCACCCCTCTATGGCCAATCTTCCCACGCACCTGAAACAAATCAGGAGCTGATGAGCTGAAGGTTTTGGGAAGGGAAGAGACACACTGAGGGAGGGTGTGGGTTGTGAAGAAACACAGTCTCCAACCTGGGCTCTCTGGAGGACAAGAGTGCTGCACGTCCACTTCCAGGAGGAATATAAGGATTTGGAGATACTTACCTTTGGGAAATACTCACCTTTGGATATATGTACCTGTGGAAATACGTGAGAGACATTTGGAAGGACTTTTTGCTGGGTTGGCCACTAGCTGCAACGTGGACTACAGTAAGGCTGGGGAAAAGTTATCTGAGCGAGGAGATTATGATTTGGATGTGAAGAGAATCCCATACCTTAAGAGCCAAAAGAAAGACGTTATATTTGATTCCACCATAATAATCCTGGTTGTTTGAACTCACTACTAGCAACCCCGCTGAAAGTGTGTAGCACTCACATCATTAGGCAAAAACTGAGTATCATGATCATTGAATCAATGAATGACCACATCCTCCTCTACACTGTGTGCACAATTATTAGGCAAGTAAGTATTTTGACCATATCATAATTATTATGCATATTTCCCAACTCCAAGCTGTATAAACTGGAATGCTTATTGGATTTAAGCATATCAGGTGATGTGTATTTGTGTAATGAGGGAGGGAGGGTGTGGCCTAAGGAGATCAACACACTATCTCAAGGTGTGTATAATTATTAGGCAGCTTCTTTTCCTCAGGCAAAATGGGCCAAAAAATAGATTTAACTGACTCTGAAAAGTCAACATTTGTAACATGTATTTCAGAGGGATGCAGCGCTCTTGAAATTGCTAAGATATTGGGGCGTGATCACAGAACCATCAAACGTTTTGTTGCAAATAGTCAACAGGGTTGCAAGAACCGTGTTGAGAAAAAATGACGCAAATTAACTGCCAAAGATTTGAGAAGAATCAAACGTGAAGCTACCAGGAACCCATTATCCTCCAGTGCTGTCATATTCCAGAGCTGCAACCTACCTGGAGTGCCCAGAAGTACAAGGTGTTCAGTGCTCAGAGACATGGCCAAGGTAAGGAAGGCTGAAACCTGACCACCACTGAACAAGAAACATAAGTTGAAACGTCAAGACTGGGCCAAGAAATATCTGAAGACAGATTTTTAAAAGGTTTTATGGACTGATGAGATGAGTGACTCTTGAAGGACCAGATGGATGGGCCCGTGGCTGGATCAGTAACGGGCACGGAGCTCCACTTCGACTCAGACGCCAGCAAGGTGGAGGTGGGGTACTGGTATGGGCTGGTATTATTAAATATGAGCTAGTTGGACCTTTTCGGGTTGAAGATGGACTCAAATTCAACTCCCAAACCTACTGCCAGTTTTTAGAAGACACTTTCTTCAAGCAGTGGTACAGGAAAAAATCTGCATCTTTCAAGACGACCATGATTTTTATGCAGGACAATGCTCCATCGCATGCATCGAAGTACTCCACTGCGTGGCTAGCCAGTAAAGGCCTTAAAGATTAAAGAATAATGACATGGTCCCCTTCCTCACCTGACCTAAACCCTATTGAGAACTTATGGTCCCTTCTTAAACGGTCGATTTACGGTGAAGGAAAACAGTACACCTCTCTGGCCAGTGTCTGGGAGGCTGTGGTTGCTGCTGCACAAAAAGTTGATCGTCAACAGATCAAGAAACTGACAGACTCCATGGATGGAAGGCTTATGACTGTTATTGAAAAGAAGGGTGGCTATATTGGTCACTGTCAGAAATGTTTATTTGTACATTTTGAGTTGTTTGTTTATTATTCTCACTTTAACAGATGAAAATAAACAAGTGAGAACTTGTAAACAAGGGAACGTTTCGTTTTTCAATTAGTTCCATAATAATTCTGCACACTAACAGTTGCCCAATAATTGTGCACACATAGAAATTCAAAACTCTCACTATTACTTTCTTAAATATTCAGGTTTGAGGTTTATTAACATTTTGGATTGACCGAGAGCACTGTAGTTGTTCAATAATAACATACAACTTGCCTAATAATTGTGCACACAGTGGAAAACAAATAGTATCACCTTGAAAGGCAGGCTTCAGTGTTTGTGAGACCGTAAGCTGTGGCCCAAGCTCAACACAAAGTCCTTGGAGGTAGTTTAGAGTATCACAGCCATGGATCCAACGTGGTCCACACACCTAGCACAGACAGAGAGAGAGAGAGAGAGAGAGAGAGAGAGAGAGGGACTTTACAACAATGCCATCTCAGGAATGGCTGAGCCCAAACACAGAATGCATAGAGATCAGTGGAAGCAACCACATGGCGAATCAGGTGAGAGAATTAGCATTACTAAATTCATGTGTCAGGTCATAGGTCATAGCTCACAATGTATCTGAGTCCAGTCATACTGTGGGTCACAATGTATTTATGATAAATGGCACAAGAGGGTAAGCACGTATCACAGGATGTTTGTGAGGAGCAGCTAGTTCCTGATTATAATTGCAGAGGGGAAGGGAAACTGACAGGGCAAGTTTTCAAGCCCAGATTCAAAAGGTTAGTAAATGAAATAGTACTCTGACCTAAACAGTGAGTCAAGGATGAGCAACTCACCGTAGCTCTGTCAGCATTACAAGCTAGGGACAATCCTAATGAAACTCCTGGCTCCACTAAAATAAAACAAAATAAGTGAATATGGATGGATTTAATATACAATTATACAAATATATAAAAATCTTGAATCAAAAAAATATTTTACACCGATTTGTCAATACAAGTCTACTAAAAGCTGAACCTCAGCTTGACATAAGCACATGAGGTAACTGAAACTTTCCCACAAATCACGCATTAGACAAAATGACAACACACAACACAGAATGACAACACACACACTCTCACAAGATGTGAGACTAACCAGTGAAGCAATAACACTTTCACAAAATCCTAACAGTTTTGTGTGAAAAGAGGAAATGTATACAGGACTTGAGAATTATTATAACTGAACACAACAGTGTGTGAGCAAGAGAATGGGAGAACTCTGATTCTTGGGGCCCACACAAACTGGTAATAGTGAGCATGCATCTTACCTTGTACAGGTAAAGCTTTACAAGTGGCACTGTCATAAGAACATCTGTAAACCACTCCTGTCCCATTGTCTTGAAGAGGAGCTGTGACCAACACACTACAGAGAGAAAAGGGGATGGAGAGAATAAAGGAGAAAGACAGAAGGGATGGAGAGAATAGAGGAGAGAGCCAGGTGGAAAGAGACAGTAGAGAGAGATGGAGAGAGGAAAAAAACGTGATTGGTCAAACAATATATATATATATATATATATATATATATATATATATATATTTGTATTTAAAATGGGTTACGTTTTAAATGTTCGTTATGTGTAAAATGTCCTGTTTAAAAAATATATTGTTCAAAGCAAGCTGTTCAGTGACTGCCAGCAGCAGCAGCCCCGCCTCCGTGGGAGCATAGGCCATGCTAACATTGCTTGGATTGTTTTGCAATGAGGGTGAACTGCCCCAATGAAATAGCAGGATTATAGAGCATAAATTATAACAGCACAAAGTAAATGTGCGTCCATTCAGTCAGAACTTCTGGGTCTGCTGAGCAATACACTATCTAGAACCTTCTCATTGCGTATCTGGTAGGACAAAACAGCATGGCAAATTTTGTTTCCCCCCATTTTGTTAGTCAGGTTCTACTGTAGGTGACAGGGAGACATTTTGTGTGGACTAAACAGCATAAAACCAGGTGTACAGTGGGGAAAAAAAGTATTTAGTCAGCCACAAATTGTGCAAGTTCTCCCACTTAAAAAGATGAGAGAGGCCTGTAATTTTCATCATAGGTACACGTCAACTATGACAGACAAAATGAGGGAAAAAAATCCAGAAAATCACATTATTTAATTTTTTATGAATTTATTTGCAAATTATGGTGGAAAATAAGTATTTGGTCAATAACAAAAGTTTCTCAATACTTTGTTATATACCCTTTGTTGGCAATGACACAGGTCAAACGTTTTCTGTAAGTCTTCACAAGGTTTTCACACACTGTTGCTGGTATTTTGGCCCATTCCTCCATGCAGATCTCCTCTAGAGCAGTGATGTTTTGGGGCTGTCACTGGGCAACACGGACTTTCAACTCCCTCCAAAGATTTTCTATGGGGTTGAGATCTGGAGACTGGCTAGGCCACTCCAGGACCTTGAAATGCTTCTTACGAAGCCACTCCTTCGTTGCCCGGGCGGTGTGTTTGGGATCATTGTCATGCTGAAAGACCCAGCCACGTTTCATCTTCAATGCCCTTGCTGATGGGAGGAGGTTTTCACTCAAAAACTCACGATACATGGCCCCATTCATTCTTTCCTTTACACGGATCAGTCGTCCTGGTCCCTTTGCAGCCCCAAAGCATGATGTTTCCACCCCCATGCTTCACAGTAGGTATGGTGTTCTTTGGATGCAACTCAGCATTCTTTGTCCTCCAAACACGACGAGTTGAGTTTTTACCAAAAAGTTCTATTTTGGTTTCATCTGACGATATGACATTCTCCCAATCCTTTTCTGGATCATCCAAATGCACTCTAGCAAACTTCAGACGGGCCTGGACATGTACTGGCTTAAGCAGGGGGACACGTCTGGCACTGCAGGATTTGAGTCCCTGGCAGCGTAGTGTGTTACTGATGGTAGGCTTTGTTACTTTGGTCCCAGCTCTCTGCAGGTCATTCACTAGGTCCCCCGTGTGGTTCTGGGATTTTTGCTCACCGTTCTTGTGATCTTTTTGACCCCACGGGGTGAGATCTTGCGTGGAGCCCCAGATCGAGGGAGATTATCAGTGGTCTTGTATGTCTTCCATTTCCTAATAATTGCTCCCACAGTTGATTTCTTCAAACCAAGCTGCTTACCTATTGCAGATTCAGTCTTCCCAGCCTGGTGCAGGTCTAAAATTTTGTTTCTGGTGTCCTTTGACAGCTCTTTGGTCTTGGCCATAGTGGAGTTTGGAGTGTGACTGTTTGAGGTTGTGGACAGGTGTCTTTTATACTGATAACAAGTTCAAACAGGTGCCATTAATACAGGTAACGAGTGGAGGACAGAGGAGCCTCTTAAAGAAGAAGTTACAGGTCTGTGAGAGCCAGAAATCTTGCTTGTTTGTAGGTGACCAAATACTTATTTTCTACCATCATTTGCAAATAAATTCATTAAAAATCCTACAATGTGATTTTCTGGAGAAAAAAATCTTTGTCTGTCATAGTTGACGTGTACCTATGATGAAAATTACAGGCCTCTCTCATCTTTTTAAGTGGGAGAACTTGCACAATTGGTGGCTGACTAAATACTTTTTTTCCCCACTGTATGCTGTCGTTCAAATGCACAGATCGCTTTATATATCTTCTCAAAGAAACTACAGGTAGTTTGAAAACTTGGCATCATATTTCTGTCATGCTGCTTTGTTGAAAACCCCAACCACCTCAAGCCCTGGGTATTCAGCCAATCAGCGGCCACTACTGGTATCAATAAAGTAACATCGGATCAAATCATTAGAGGACAGTGATGAAATACTGATAAAATACAGTTTGTTGTCGTTTTAGGCCTAGAATCAACCTGGACCGCGGAAGATAACGCGATTGACATTTAAAGGTAATTTCCGATTGAGCCCACATATGCAGCGTTTACAGTGAATGCGCTCTCCGTGAACACTGAAACATTGCCTTTAAAAGGTGCATGGCCGAAAAGGGGGATCTGATTGGTTGTTGACCGATGTAAAATTAGTTTTGTATTGGATATTCGGTTTTCTCTCGTTTATTGCTTGTTTAGCAACAAAAACCGACACGTGCGCAACTATGGGGAAAAACAGATGGGGTTGGCTTAGATTGTTGACAATATGTAAGCTATATTTCGTCTCCGATGTTTATTGAAAACATAAATTCATTTGCACAATGAGTACTTGTTTCCTGTCAAATACATCCTTACAGTTGTTGGTTAGCTAGAATGTTTTTGCCATATTAGCATTGACATTAAATCAGTCAAAACACCTGAAAACAAGACACGGTATCAAGAACAAGATGAAACGAGCCACTTACGATTCCCCACAGTTTCTTCTCATTCTTGCTAGCAATCTGGCCATCCAGAATCACAATAACACGCTGACTTCTGCCCCATGGAAGCGCACACATCTTAGCTATTGAACCAAGCATGCCATGACTGTGAATATGGTATATTCTGAATGATGGATGGATGGAGAACAATCCACTGCATTTTATTGTTGAAATTTAGATTTTCTGTTTTGGTGGGGGCTTTCAATCTTCAATAGCTCTTACACAAAGCGTGCCAAGACTATGCAGTGAATTTCAACCACAGATTCAACCACAATGACCAGGGAGGTTTTCCAATGCCTCGCAAAGAAGGTCATCTATTTATAAAAATAAATAAAAAGTAGACATTGAATATCCCTTTGAGCATGGTGAAGTCATTAATTACACTTTGGATGGTGTATCAATACACCCAGTCACTACAAAGATACAGGTGTCCTTCTTAACTCAGTTGCCGGATAGGAAGGAAACCGCTCAGGGATTTCACCATGAGGCCAATGGTGACTTTAAAACAGTTACAGAGTTTAATGGCTGTGATAGGAGAAAACTGAGGATGGATCAACAGCGTTGTGATTACACCACAATACTAACCTAATTGACAGAGTGAAAAGACTGTACAGCCCGTACAGAATACAAATATTCCAAAACATGAATCCTGTTTGCAATAAGGCACTAAAGTAAAACTGCAAAAAATGTGGCAGAGAAATTTACTTTATGTCCTAAATACAACGTTTTATGTTTGGGGCAAATCCAACACAACACATCACTGAGAACCACTCTTCATATTTTCAAGCACGGTGAGGGCTATATCATGTTATGGGTGTGCTTGTCATCGGCAAGGACTAGGGAGATTTTAAGGATAATAAGAATCGGAATAGAGTTAAGCACGGGCAAAATCCTAGAAGAAAACCTGGTTCAGTCTGCTTTTCAACAGACAGTGGGAGACAAATTCACCTTTCAGCAGGACAATAACCTAAAACACAAGGTCAAATATACAATGGACTTGCTTACCAAGATGACATTGAATGTTCCTAAGTGGCCTATTTACAGTTTTGACTTAAATCGGCTTGAAAATCTATGTCAAGAATTGAAAATGGCTGTCGAGCAATGATCAATAACCAACTTGACAGAGCATTAAGAATTTTTAAAAGAATAATGTGCAAATATTGTACAATCCAGGTGTGC